TTCCTTATATATATATATATATATATGTGTGTGTATATATATATCTTCTTAAATCATACATCTATGAGAATGGGGCTTTCCGCACCCCCCCCCAATATAAGGAAAAATTCGATTTCTATTAACGATTTTTCAACCCAACAATATAATATTCAAAGCTCACTAAGCCCCCTTGGTCCTTCCACAGCACCCTCTCACAACTGTCAAAGCCCCCCGTTCAAAAATTTAACTCAACAAAAATAAGGTAAAACTCAACAGAATTATACCTTATTGAGAGGGGGCTGAGGGAGATGGCGGCAGGGGGTTCTTCAAAATCAAGTCGGGGCTAAGGGGGCGGAGGGATTGCAAAAAAAAATTAACCTAATTAAAATAAATAAAAAACCAATAGAATTTTACCTTATTTAGAGGGTAAGGTTGGCACTATGAATTTTTTGTTTTTTTTATTATAAATGGTAATGCTTATGTTATCCTGCAATCTTCTTAATTTCAAACTAAAATAACTTTAGTTCATAATTTCCTTTGGGTTTTCCTTAATCCTGATATTATTATATTGGACAATGTAATCATGCCAGCTATCATTATTACCAGAAAAAAGTGTTTTTAAATTACTTCAGTTTAAAAAATTTTTTTATTTTTATTTTACCGGCTTTCCAACGACAGCTCTAAGGCCAAGTTGCCGGAGCCATCCACTTACCACCTATGTGTGAGGGTGTATTGCCGCACCCATTTTCCAACCCTTTAACTTATGTTATACGTAATCCATGGGAACAGTGCGAGTATCTTCGGTGAAACACTGTGCCAGTTAAGCTGACACTCTCTACACCAACGCTGCATCGGGTCTATTAGCCACTGTGCTGCCTTTCCCCGGAGAGAACTCCATATTTTAGAACATCCGCTCCTCGCCAGTTAAGCTTGTGCTCTCTGCCGAAGCATCGGATCCAGGTTAATTAGCATCCTCGGAGAAGCCCCATGTTTCAGGGACCACTCCTTGCCGGCAAGGCTGGCGATCCCTACCTGGCGAATCGGATCCGCTAACCCCTACCTATAGCCCTAACACTGTTTCGCATTTACCCAAGCCCGAAGACCTGTGGGGCAAGGAAAAAATCCTGGAATTACTTTGAAGGAAAATCCCACGGAAAAATCCACACCAAAACAGCTAGGGTTACATAAGAACTTTTCCCGATCAAAACAGTTTTTGAACAAATCTGCATTCACTTGGAATCGAACCTACGACCCCTAGAACAGCGTTGTATCAGTAACAAGCACGTTTACCACGCAGCCAACGCCGCTCTCTAAAATTATCTACTTCAGTTATTCCTAATGCTATGAGTAAAATTGTAATTTTTACATTTAATTATTATAAAAACATTAGTTTTAACAAAACTTATTTTGAGATAGAATATTGGGGGGTTAGCGCTCGAAGCGCGCAATAGGCGAAGCTCCACTAGTGTATACGACATATAATATTTCAACTGACGTAAACTATTATTCTGGCTATTGCTAGTAAAATAAAGGACTCATAAAGTATCTCATTGAAATCGCGAGACTTAATAAAACGATCATAAAACTATCATAATGGAGTCTAATTATCGTACTTTCAATAGTTTTGATAATTAATTTCAAATTAAAAATAAACTCATTGTTTTTTTTTTAGAGCTTTCAATTAACCAATGGATCAGATGCCTTCGAAAGATGGATGAATACTCCTACTCCAGTGTATATGAAAATATACTTCTTTAATATTTCTAATCCTCAAGACGTAAAAAATGGAGGTGCACCAATAGTCAAAGAAATAGGACCTTATGTCTACGAGTAAGATATAACTGCAGACTACAGGATTCTGTTATTCGTTATCTCACAAACGTTTGTAAACAGGTAGACAACGTTTAAGATCATTTTTTAGTGATTAAAATTTATTTTTAGCCTGATAAAAAGCAAAGTGGACATTGCTGAAGAAAATGATAATCTAACTTATTATCAACGACAGTTATTTCATTTTAACCAGGATTCTTCGGGATGTCATAAGGAGGATGACGTTATCGTAGTAGCTAACTTACCACTTATGGTAATCTGTTTATGTTATTAAAATGTATTCAAATGAATTCTTAGAGAATAATGCAAATTTTTTTGGTATAACCTGCATTAACAAAAGTGAATGCTTCTACAGTTTTCTTGTAAAAGTAGTCTTCCTCAATTGAGTTATTAGTGTTTAACAATATTTGTTCCAAAATAAGAGCTTATTGAGATATTTAAGTATTTTTAGTTCAGTTCAGAAATTGTAAGCTGTAAACTGGTCGAATCAAGAGGTTGTCCATCTCATAGTCCTAAGTCTTTTTGGAACTTCTTAGATCTGATTTAATTATTTCAAAGAAACGTCGAAGAATAAAGATTCAACCAGTTAAGCCACTTAATTACGTGTTTTTTATCCTGAATTGTAAGGGCATAAATTATGGACGCACACTATGTCATTTTCACTTTTTAACAAAGGGTATACGTTCGTTTGGTGCCTCCAGTAACTCTGCTCAGTAAGTCAGAGATTACGTGACCTGATTTACTGGGATATCGTTTGGATGAGAAACAACTAATTTCTCCAGTAAAATCACGTGATCTTCGACTTACTGGGTAGTTACTGGAAACACAAAACGAACATGCTCTAAATTCAAGCGATTGTCTAGTATGTTAATAATTACTGCTCAAGTGACTTAAGTTATCCACTCAGCAGGAAACCATAAACAAACTGTGGTAATGACACGGATTGCCTTCATCACTGGACACAATTATAAGACACAGTGAGTTAGATAATACTAGACATATGGTTAGGAGCTTTCTCGGATATTAACATTCTTGTTTAAGTACACCCAGATTCACCTAATTTCAAGATTCATCTATTTCTATCTGATATAATACCCAGTCTTCTTAAATTAGAACTCGTACTGTATGCGCATTATATTGATTAATAAATAAGGTTGCATAAGGTCTGGTGTAGTTTGCACAGTTTTCATAAAGTTTTGTACAACAAGTCCATGGGTTTATTGTACCATCAAAATAACGCTCTAACATCAAATTTTACGGATTACGTGATACTTTAACAACAAAATTTTTTTAATGTTAAAAAATTACATTTCTTAATAAGTAAAAAATGAATCACTTTCAATATATCAACTGTATTAGAACTTATTTCAAAGAAGGGAAAAGGAATTACTTATTGAATTGACGATTGATATGATAATACATAAGAGTAGAATTATATTTTGAAGTAAAAAATTTATAGTTGTACTAATTCAAAAAATTTTTATTTTCAGAGTATGATGACTATAGCTGAAAAAAAAAGTAGTTTTGTTACTATAATTATCAATCAACATCTAAAAAGTCTTTTTGGGGATGCCAGTGATATTTTCATAAAAACTACGCCAAAGGATTTTCTTTTTGATGGCATTTACATTTACTGCAATAAACGTGTAGGGTCCCAAAATACATTTAATAGAATTTGCAAAGATATTAAAATGTCTGCATTTAAACAGCTGGAAGAACTTAAGGATGGACGACTCAAGTTCTCTTTTTTAAGTTTCGTAAGTATCAGTAAATGTTTCTTTTTCTCTACCTCATGAAAAAAGAGGTTAATTAACGACGCTACTTTTAAAAAAATATGATATTTTCTTAGCTTAAAAAAAAAATAATCAGTTTTATCCTTGACAATAATACGCTGAAGGATGACGGATAATTTTTTTTTTTAATATGATAAAAAATGTGTCATGCCAAATAAAACTAGAACCACAATAATTTAAAAAATCTACCACTGATCATTTACAAAAATCATACAGCAACATTGCAAAAACGTGAGGTTGTGTTTGATTAATTAAAAAAAATTTTATTTTTTTTCTAATAGTTCTCTCAAATACAAAGTTAAGTAAGATATTTAATAATTTCTCCCCTTCAACGTTTTATGTAATTATCTTCATAAAAAATTCGGTATATATTTCTCAAACCTGTACTTCTAAATCTAAAAAATGACAAATTATTGCAATCAGCCTCAGATACGTTGTATCTTTTTGTGTGGCTAACCATTCATGGACATTGTAAAAGTAGCTATGAAACATCATCTGAACTTAGTTTTACCTCCTTCAATTCACTTATTATCTGTGGAAGTAATACACTTTCCACAACATACGAAGTGTACAAGTAATTGCATACTTAGTGTTAGATCCTATTTTTACTGGTTTAAAAGCCGATTGTCTACTAAAAAAACAATTTATTGTTGATACATTCAAGAAAAAATATTTACATCAAGCAGAACTTCACTCCTACGTGCAGTCAATTTTCATTGACGCCAATCAGCCCTAATGACTTGGAAGCCAATTCTACCATAGACAACTAGTCAACTTCCTCCCATTAGCCAATCTAATACAAGCCCGTAAAATATTAAATATAATTTTCCACTGCACTTAAATTCTCGGCTGAAACGTATGCTTTTGTAGCCTATTGTTTGTTTTATCATAGCTATTTAATTATTTGACTTTATAGTATACTTTTAAAAGCTGCAAGCATTTCATTGTAGCTTATAAATTAAGAAAACGCATTAAGTACTCTGATTGTCAGAACTACGTAAGTTTTTTACCAATAGAAATACAGTACCGACTTTTTGCTTCAATGTTCAGTGCTATTTTCGAATCCGCTGGTTTAAACTATTAAACTTTCCAAAAATATTCTAATTTTTATAAATTTTTTAAAATAGTCTGTACGTTTTCAGTTTTTATGACCAAATCCAGAAAAAAAAAAAATGATAAGAACTTTAGTTTCTTTCCACAGTAGTAAAAGAAAAAAAATTCCAAATGAATTATTTCTGGAAAGTCTTGTCAGCAAACAAAGTACGTAAATAAATTATAATGTGATATGTTACGTACGATAATATATGGCTATGCGTCCGTCTGCCCCTCCTAGTTTGGGGCCTAAAGTAAGAGTAGGCAGGGGTAGGTTGTCGGCTTCGAATGGTTAAGCACAACGGGCCTTTCCTTTGTTTTTAAAATTAATAAAGTACTTGATCTAAACTTCTTGTAGCTATTTCGTGAGTATTCCGAAGCCATGGAATCCCACGTAACAGATACATAAGTATTTTTCTTTGGAAGATTTTTTTTAAGTGTTAAAAGTAAGTAAAGGAAGGAGAGTTATGATTTTAATGTCAACTAATAAACAGGGATAACTGCTGTTAAAAATAGAGAATTAATTAATCCATTATATCTGTAGTATGTAGCTTGGAGATATTTGTGTTTTGGAGACTAGTACTTCGACATTTTTTGTTGTTTTTCAGAAAAACAAGACCGAAGAAAAATCCTATAAAATTAACAGTGGAGTAAAAAATATTAAACTGTTAGGTGAGATTATTGAGTGGAATAATTCGACAAAGATTAGCGCGTGGAACGATAATGGGACGTGTAATAACGTTTATGGATCTGATTCGATGCTTTTCCCTCCTTATGTTACTGAGAATACGAATATTACTGTATTTCAATCTGACATTTGCCGGTAGAAAAATTTATATCTATAAAATTTTAGTAAAAAATTTTACCTGTGGTGAAACTTTAATTATGTTGCAGAACTGTATATCTGGATTTTGAAAATAGATCAAAATATAAAGGTCTTTCAAGTATTAAATTTGTTGAAAGTAATATGTTGACGTCAGGAGCAACGTTCTCAAATAATAAATGTTTTTGCGTCAACGAAACTAAAGGAATATTGGGAGAAGATGGTTGCTTATTAGACGGCGCCATGGAGTTGCAAACATGTCTAAGTAAGACAATGACAAATTCTCTGTGGAAGTAACGATTTCTATCTATCAATGCACACAAGTAGTAAACTATCCACTTTTGCAGATACGCCGGTGGTTTTGACGTTTCCTCACTTTTTTAAAGCTCATACGAAATATCAAAATGGTGTACTTGGAGTAAATCCTAATAAAACTCTTCATGAAACTTTTGTGGAACTGGAACCGGTAAGACACAACTGTTCCAAAAATGTTCAGTTCAATGTCAACCATTGGTACTTGGCAGGTTGTTTGAATGAGGACTACTTATACAATTTTTCAAGAGAAATAAATGATTACAGAAAACTGGTGTTGTCTTGCGAGGAGCTAAGCGGGTACAGTTCAATATATTTTACCGAAAAATTAAGCACGCAAAATTAACGGACAAACTAAATGAAACACTAATGCCAGTACTTTGGATCGACGAGGTGAGCATCCAATTTTATATAATTAACTTGAATGAACTAATAAAAAACATGGTAAAAAGGTATATCATTACGAGCGAAGCTGATACCAAACATTGTTTTACATAATGAATGTATTTCAGGGAATTGAATTGGAAGATAAATACGTAGATCGATTAAATGAACAACTTTTTTCAATATTGATGATGCTTGACAAGATAGAATGGGCTTTGATTGGAGTTGGTTTGCTTGTCAGCATTATAGGTTTCATGACATTTTTTATTGTTGTCAAAATTAACCTTCGTAAGAGTGGAGGATAGAGATCTTTGAATGGATGTATTATAATCAAAACCTGAATTTCACTTTATATTATGAACCAAACGTGTTGATAACGACGATACAGTTGTGTAAATTGATAAATTCTTATTTTTCTTAGTACATTTATTCCGCATTGTCGACATTTTCTTTCTTGCGATGTAAAATAATAATTGTTTAATAAAATAAATAAAATAATATTGATACATTTTATTTAGTTTTAAATAAAAATAACTGTAACTTATCTGCACAAAGAAGTTTCATACTGTTTTTTTTTCATCATCGATATAAAAAGTATTAAATATTTTTTTTCACTTTTTTAGTTGAAATAAAAATGCTGAATGAAAAAAGTTTTTTATTAAAAATTTTGTACTTAGAGTACATACTGTTACTGACAAAAATTTTTGTAATTTCTAACTGCCAAGCGAATCATTATTACGTCCACTGATTTCTCACCTTTTTGAACCCGTTCTCATAAGTCGTAAAACAGGTGATTTTGCGACGAAAGTGTTTGGGTGTTATGCCACGAGAGCGAGTCCAGGATTCAGTTTTCTTGTTGCTAGGCTTTATTGTAAAAGTAAAAAGCAATGTTCCTTTTATTTTTTAAAAAAGGCTTGGGCAGCTAAAAAATCGGCAGCAGTCAGTCGCATTTTTCTCATGAAATTCAAAATTTATATCTTCGACTGTATATATTTTCAACTGTCAAATAAAGCTAACAAAAACTTAAACAAGTAGTTAATCGTTGTATTCTTTAAAACATCTACTTTACAAAGAACATATGTGCTATAACATGGAAGTTACAACAATGAGTTATTACAAAAAATGATTTTAGTGATTTTTTAAACATTTTTTAGTGTCATTAATGTGAGGGACATTTCAAAAATTAAGTGTGATTTTATTTTGTCCTTATCTTAATCACAAAAGTTTTTTATCAAAAATTTTTTTCAGACTGTAAAAAAATTAAGAAGAGTTACTGTTAATTATACCTACTTTATCAATTTATTTTATTTTAATTTTTTCCACAATTTAATGCAATTGGTCTTTGAAAAGCCCACCAAACAATACACTCCACCTGTTCCAACCAATCACATAACAAATAAAAACGTTTCAGTCACGTGAAAATCAATTTTTTTTTTGAATAAATACTATTGATTCTCCAAAAAGTGGTATTTTTTCTCTCTTTTTTTTTTTTTTTTTTTGGTTTTTTTTTTTGTTTGAAGGAGCGAGGAAGGGAAAATCTTCATAGACACCCCAGCTCTTCTGGAGGTACCCATAATTTATGTTGTATAAAGTTTTTCAAGATCCTGCAAAACATACGATAAATTTATCTAAGGTCATGCTCATTGATATTCATACCCTGACTGGAGCGTAATCAATAAAAATTATGAAAAATATTATAGCAATAAAAAATAGTAATAAGGTTGGAACAAAATAAATTCTCCGTATGTTGTCTTCAACGTTCAGTTTTATTTTGGATAAAGATTATAAAAAGCTTTTTGATGATGAATGTTTCACTAGTTTAGTGAAATTTCCAAATAAGCCTACAAAATAGCATTAAAACTACAAAATGTTGAATAAATTGTTAAACTCCCAGTTATCGTTTTACTTATTAATAATACAATAAATTATTTACAAATATACAAATAGCTATAATGTGTTTGCCTGCAATACACAAAACGTCATATCTATTTACTACATTATGCTTTACAAAATTTAAAAATAATAATTAACAACAATCTATAAAAGCAATGCATCACACATATTTATTTGCAATATATATAATCTAAAATTATTAACTATTTTCTTATAGAGTTTTAATATCATTACCTTATGATAAGCAATGATTATAATTTTTTATCATATTTTTTACTTTTCATCTGGTGACTATTACTTTTCGTTTATTGTCCTTCTTATTTTTTTATTGTCTTTCTACTAGAGGATTGAAAAACTTTTAACACATTTACAGTTAACAAACTCATTCAATCCTATATATTTTATTGGACACTTACTAAAGTCTACCTAATGTGTACCATTGTATACAATTAAGTCCAAAAAATAAATTTGGGACTCTCAATAATAAGAAAAAGCAATAGTTGCTCTAGTATTTTTTAAGTTTGATACCTTAGAAAAGTGTCAAAAAGCTCACTTGAAATCAACAATATGATCTTACAATCTAATAATACAACAGTAATTAACATATGAACATGAACTTCGTAACTGGCTATTGATAGGAAAAAAAAGTATATATACTAGAACATAAATCTACTAAATGCAGTAAATGGAAATGTAACTATAATTTAAATTCAAATTTCTAATAAAATGTAAAATCCATCAATGAAAGAGTTTATTTTATTTTACTAGCCAATAGAAATTAAAAATGTGAATTTTCCGCGTAACGAAGCAATGTCATCCTGCTGTATATGGGATCAAGACGAAAATATGAAAACATTTGTCATTCACGATTTGCTTAATCTCAATAAAATTTATTCTACCTGCACGATGATGATGATAAAAAAAAAAAAAAAAAAATTAGTATAAATGTATTTCTCCATGATTGTAATGCATCTTACAGAGCTTTTTACAACTAAGTGCCATTTAGCGAGAACTATGTGGCATTATTTCATTGCTGATTCTGTAGTAAAAAATACTCAATTTGATAAATTACATAAAATTATAATAATAGCTTATCTTTTTCATTAACTAAGGTTATTACTCAAATGTTTGCTTATACATTTACAAATTTATACTCGCCTCACATATAGTTTACATAGTACTATATTTATTTGGCAAAGTACTTGAACAGGTAAAGCAAAATTTTTTGAAATTACAAATACTAAAGTTTTAAAATTCTATGTGTATATAATAAATAACACGGCCCAGACGAAGAAATGAGCTCAGATTTCTCCATGTTATTTCAAATGGCAAAATCTGAGCTAAGCTTTTCTTCGTCCGGGCTGTCCATTATATATATATATTTCTTAGCTTATGAAATACTTGCTTTGATTTGTTAAATTACATTATAGCCGGCATTTGCGTATTGAGTGTCGATGTATGAAAGAGTTAATATTTCTGATTTTAGAATGAGGCGATTCGAAAATAATTTGAAAAATGTTTTATTTTTATCTTTCAATACATTAAATTGGAAAAAATAATTGATCACACTTATTATTGTTATGAATGAAAATAAGAATAAAAAAATAAACCTTCCATTTCATCATTTGCTTGTTGTTATTTTGAAATTATGACCGTAATTATTATCATCCCTACTGATTATCATGTCAAGTTATATTAACTTACAATATCAAATTTAAATACTTAGTTTTATTTTGAAAAATACTAATGTAAATAGCTCTATAAAACATTTATTCTCTCATCATGAAAAAATATCTCTTTTTGCTACGGGAAGGGATGTATGAAACGACACCAGCGTGAGTAACGGCTGCGAATGTAAATACGACTAACACGGATAATTATAGTTATACATATATTCTCCAGACAATGTCCAAAATACAACTGCACCACACTGAATATTTTCGTTAAAATTGTTTAGTTTTTTAATGCAGTATAAATTTATATATTATATACTATGTTGAAGAATCTGTACTTTAAATGCTTGACACTTTATTGCTATCTTTGATGTATCTATCACTTCCTATACGGCACAATGTTAAGTCATGAACTTTGGGTGCTCGCCAGTTTGGTTCGATCTCTGATTTTCGAGATTAATAATTCAGAAGCCTCAATAATTGACTATTATTGATGATGGCAGATGAATGATCCCAAAGTTATTACACATAAATTTTTGATGATTAATTGATCTTTGTGATACTTTTCAAGGACATTTACATCGCAAATTATGTATAATAATATCTATTATTATTATGATATACTACAGGTGTGAGCCATTTTACGACTGATGTACCATTTCCTGAGATTATGTACATTATGTACATTATTTATGAAACATAAACAATCGTTTATAATCTTATGGGCAGTACAGGCAACATATAATATTCATACGAAAAATATTGACGGCTAGAGTATTTCATTCATTATAATGAATGTATCAAATGCTTGTAAAATACGTCGAGGCACAAATTTATAATTACGTATTTCGCCACCCATTGATGTTACTACGATTACGTTCAAATTGAGTAAGCAGCACTAAAAATATGTAACATTAACAATGTTTTGGGGAAACATCAGATATCAAACTATTTGCCAACAACCTTAGATTCCTAAGTGGTAACGTTTAAAAAAATTGTACAGTCTAGACGTTTTAAAGTGTAATTTAGTTGTATCTTTGACAGTTTTCTATAATAATATTTGAAAAATGACGTTTAATCATCTCTTTTTTTTTCATGCTATACAACTTTATGCTTTCCTTCCTTCATTAAAACTTATTTACAGTATTTAAAATTACAATATCCTTTAAATCGCAAAATGGCGTTAATCAACATTCTTTCGCATAAATACTAAAAATTTCTCAATTTTTACAAAATTAGTTACTAAAATCACTTACTAATAGCTCTATTAGGTAGGAACCTTGAATAGTTATCTAAAACGCCTTTAAATATTAAAAAATACTCTCCTTACAAGTTTTATAGTTAGTTCTATGCAGCAATATTATAAAAGTAAACTGAATGTAAAATTCATATTTTATGTTATCGAGTTTTCGACTAGTAAAAAGTTTTTTCAGCTCTTAGTAAATAAAGAGTATAGTCGAAGCTATTAACAACCAAATCTGTTGGTCTTATATTTTGCATATTTTCTATATAATGCATCAATATTAGATCGGACAGATGCAAGAGAGTAATTTTTTGAGTATGCACTGCGTGGCCTCGTGCTCATAGCTTGAAGGTCTGTGAAAATCCTTTGAGTGCCAACAGTCAGTTGTTGACGTTATAAAACGTCATCTATTGTCCGTTTGTCGAGTTTCACTTTTTCTCGACGTGCAATTTCTTTTTATTTCGAAAAGTTCTCGACGATCTTTTTAAGACTTACGTAGCTTCCGATGATCAGACCGAGGAATCCAAACAAAATCAGGGCACTATTTTTCGCTGAAAGGAAAACTCGCTCGCGAGTCGACTTCACTTTCCAGAAAGCACAGATTTGAATGAGAGCTGGGAATGATATGCCCAGAGCTGACAAACAGAGGGCACCGAAAAGGGAAATGAAGAGCTCCAGCTCCGGAACAGCGATTGCCAGGATAACTAGAAACATTTATTTATCGATTAGTACCTTCACGCCATGTACGTGCAATATGACATAAAAAACGTGTTGAATAGATAAAAACTTACAGGTAAAAACGACAATAAGGGTTCTCACAACATATTCCCAGAACACGAGAGCTTTAGCAGAGACATGTTTGATCTTTGGTTGAATGTACTCATTCCATGAAATATCAATGGCGACGTAACATTGAAGCGAGTGAGTGATGTAAATACTCAGTGCCAATAAAATTTGGACAACTTTCGACAAAAAATGCTTTTGTGGTAAGTTTGTGGTTATAGTACCGTGAACTTCGTCTCCTGCCCAAATGTAACCAAAAAATCCTAATCCCACGTATAAGATGATGTTCACCGCCATTCCAATGTTGAGAACTCCGCAAGTAGTTAGAAACTTTTTAGGCTTTTTCATCTCATTCTCCAAAGGCATAATCTATTCCAGATTTGTTGATCATAATTTAATAGATGTAGTTAAAGAAATTACTAAGCATAATGTTTAAGCAATCCCTTTTTTTAAAGTACTGATAAGCATTCAAGTCAAGGATTTGCTAAAGATTTTTATGTAACTTATATTTAATGCTAGACTTAATACGCATATCATATTTTTTCTGCATACCCCCACCGAAAGTGCTTCATACCTGTCCTGCTACAAAACAGATAGGTAATTAGCTCTTTCGACGAGGATATGCAGAAAAATAGTATACACACCACGTTCGGAGGTTAAGAAATGTCTTAGATTTTACGTTATCTGTTTATTCACGTGAAATCTGCGACATCCTTAACCTCACTCACTAAGTGCGTATCATACTATTTTTTAAAAGGTCAATTTTTCTAAAAATTAGTATATTACACCACAAGGGACGAAAGTGCGGCATTTCCTCCCAGGTGTGTGATTGGCAAGAACCCAGAAGTTGATGCCGTACTTTTGTCCCGTGAAGCGTAATTATAACGTTAGTCTTTCGAAGTATAACGTTTCTTCTCGATTTCAAGGGGGAGAGCGCAACATAACCTCTCATGTAAGAATCGCATGCTCTGCCCACTAGGAAAGTATTTTGGCGTTACCTGCGTAGAAATTGATTCCCAAACTGTAGGCAAAGATAGCAAACACGCAAGTTGTGACAAAATACTTTTCTCTAATCAGATAATGTTAGTTTTCACCTGAGAAGAATGCTGCACTCTTGTCAGGGAAGAAATGTCGTCTTTCGGCGGGGGGTATGGTAAAAAGCTTTTATATTTTAACCGTATAGAAAATTTTACAGAAAAAACGGTTTCCAATTAATGGATCTTGAAATTCAAGACATCAAACGTTCTCTCTTATCAAATTTGTTAAAAATGATTCGTGCTTTCATGATTCCAATAGTTTTACCTTGATCAGCTAAGGAGACTGGGAAATTTCAATTAAATCATTTATGTTGTTGCAAAATATTTAAATTTATTGTTTCTTGTTAGTTGTTAAAATACGATTTGATTTTAAAATCGCTGATTTTCAGAGACAGCAGATTGTTAGATATGATATTTATGATGTCAAGCAATTGTTAGATGTATTATCTAAATCGTTTTCTCATGTACATTTATAGTAATTCTGAAACGGCATTGGGAAAAAATTTTTTTTTCACTATTACAAGATCCAAAAAAAGGCTTTAAGGAGGCACATCACCAAGCAAATTCGTAAAAAAAGGTTCTAATGAATCTACATCTCCAGTTTTAACATAAATTGTTGAGAAAACAAGTAAATAAATCAAAATCAAAAGTTGAAAATTCAGTTTAAGCTATGTAAAAAAAGCCCTCAATTTTTTATATGTTTTTTTAGTGAAAAAATGACTTTCAGTTATAAAAAACTAACGGTTAATAGTTGAAACCATGATCTTTGTCATAAGCATTGAAAACGTATACTTTGTGTAATGGATTTCAAAAGGTATTATAAATATTAAAGTATGTTGATAGGTTACGTTTTTCCATATCCATAGAGCTTGAAAAAGTAAGATAAATGGAATTCTCAAAAGGAGACTGGTCGATGCACCCGCTTTTTTGCTTCAGACGAATATGACCACTATCATTAATTCTTTTACAAAGGACTCAAGTGATAAGCCTTCCTAACACATACTCTTAAAATCTTGTTAAATACTAAGTATCGTTAGTTAATGGAAATTACAGTTAATTGAATATGTAGGAAGAAGAACCTCTTTAATTTAAATTAAAACTAGTTTTTTTTGTACTGAAGATTAGACTTCAGCTGCTATGATGGATTGTTTAATAATACTCGTAAGTCATTGTTTAAATAACCGATATCGTAACTTATAAGTTATTAATTTAATTTGTAAAAATTCAAAAAAAATCTTACCACACCAATGGCCTCTAGAGCAAAGAGGACTGTTCCAAGAAATAGGGGGAAATCACCATATTTTCCAATAGCATGCTTTCCTTCTAAGGTTATTTTAGATGGATCTTCAACTATAAAGTACAAAATAATGCCAAAACTAATAAGTGTAATTCCATTGGCAACAGTGGACAAAGGAGCAAGTAACTTCAAATTTCGTATCCAATTGATCAAAATCAAGGGAAGAAGAAGGACTAGCATATACATCCGCAGATCGTAACTCCCAATGTGCGATTCCAAAGCCTAGAACAAAAGAACATTGTATAGTTTGATTTTTTAAAAATACTTTCAAGTGTTTGTCTCCTGCCCATTTTCTCTAGAAAGTGTTTTTAAAATAAATTATCCATTATCATCGTAACATATACATAAAAATTAAAGTTGCTTATGATTACTTAAAATCATTTCAATGAATTTTTTGGATTTCGACCATCGATGACATTTACTGTTTCATGTTTTTACCATGTATTGCAAAAGAAATCTAGCTGTTATTATCATTGGCTTTATTTAATTTCAAAGAATGTTTTTATTTGACACATAACTTGCATGAAATTTTATAGTACATTACAGTAGGCTCGTTTGAATTACATCTATAAGAATGTGTCAATAGAAAAAGATGTACAATGCAAGTTTGACAGTCGTATATTATTTTAGAATTTCAAATTATTGATAATTTTCTTCCTTGTACATAAAAAAATTTAACTAGCTGGTTACACTTAGTTGAATTTTCTCTAAAATTAAAAGAGAATTACTTAAAGGATTGTATTAATAAAGAAAGAAGTCAGAATTTTCGAACGAGGTTCTAGTTTTTTTATTTAAAGTAAGCTTATGTTAGAAGCATTACTTTAAATTAAGAAGGTGTTAAACTTTGACAAAGATACTTAATTATGGGTCGTACTAGTTTTAAATAATTTTGTAGCATTTGCTTTTATAGTAAAAAGTCATTGTAAAAAATTATATTTTCATATGAATATGAAGTTAAAAAAGTTTGGTTATTTAGTTTGTGCAATTATTTATCAGAGATAAAAATTTATCGTAAAGAATCAATAATAAAAAAAACATAAATAAGAAAAGTATATATAAATTAAATGATAAACAGCGTCTGATTAACATTGATTAAAAAATTGTTTTGGTTCTACCTTTGATAACTAGACCAGAAAAAACCTTCACATATTTTTTTCAGGTCAATTAAAAACATAATTTAATACTACTGTACTAATGGTACTAAAATAATACTATTTGTTTATTTCAGGTAAGGTAATTCATAACTTATTTACGTATATTTGTACGTCATCGTCATTATTATCACTATAACAGAAGAATTCCAGGAATTTCATTACGACATACCATATTAAGTGATGAATAATATTTTTGAAGTTGTAGCGTATTTTGGTAAGTAAATGGGGTAAAGTTATTAAGTAAACGTCAAGCCGATCTCTGGCAAAAAATACGTCGTTTTTTAATAATTGATAAACAAAAAACATTACTTGTTGTTGTTATATACTATTATATCCAGCAAAAGTTATCACTTTCTTATTGTATCGAATGATGACGACTAATTTTACATTTTTAGAAAAAAAACATTATTTTGTAGTTTTCTTCGGTAAGGAACATCGCTTTGTCATTTTTTTAGCTATGCAAACACATATACAACATGTTTTTCTTGAGACAAATAATTTAAAAAAAAAAAGATTTTTGTTAGAGGAAACCTAACAGCAACGTTTTTCATCAGAATACAGAAAAACACTATGTTCCAAAGTTCTTACTTTTTGAAGATTCGTGGCAATGAAGACCGTGTAGACGCAACAAGTGCCCAGCTGATAGATCATCAGGAACAGGTTGACTATGTGCCTAAAAAAACAATTACATGAAAAACATATCCTTGTCAATAAGTAGATTACATCAAATAAATAGTCTGCATTGTAGTTATTTCTTTACTGATAATAAGTTTAGCCCAACGATTATAGACTGTGTGTGATTACTCTACAGGTTGTCATGTCTAATAAATTGGAATTTAGAAATTTTTATTACTAATTTGACACCATCGGGATTGGGTTTTTAATTAGTTTGGAATATTTCATAGGTTTTATGTCACAAATAAAAGATATTTTGATTTTTTTTCACGTATTCTAGATGAAATTTATTTTATTTGAGTAAAAAACTTAATTTTTGTTAACTAACCAGATTAACTTTATTTTGACAATTGTTTTGTTACAATATTTAATAAATTCATGTTTTTACCAACAATAAAAATATTTAAACTAAAAGTGAACAACTGCCCTCACTATATGGCGAGTTTTTTTAAAATAGAAAAAAATTATCATTACTATTAGAAATGGATTTTTTCCAATAGTGAGACACATCTTATCGGTACGAAGATTTAATAGCAGACCTTATTTTCTGGCTCCAAATCGTTTTTCTTCGTAATATATTATTTAATATTTATATNATAATACTGTACAAAATTATTCAACAAATATTGTTATAAACGCTTCAAATGTTGCAATCAATTTTTAATAAATTGCCGTCACCTCGTAGCGAGTGGTAGGAATAATCTTTGTGTTCTATTTCGAATTTACAATAGTAAAAGTTTTTTCAATAAAAAGAAAAGTTCTAATTATCTTTTAATGATTTTTATAACTAGATTAAAATTAATCAATTTAACACTCACACCTTATTAGCTTACGTATTCTATAGCACCTCTTTTTTTTGTCCTGCATCGTTTTTATTTGTTGTATACATTTTTTTTCAATGGTTTTTATTGAAAAGTATAATATTAATTGGCATTTAATATAATGCAGTGGACAGAAATTCTTACATCTTGGTCATCATAAAATATAAAGTTTTAAAACAGCGGTTGAGTGACACTTTTTTCCAACCTGGCATAATAAAAAAGACTTTCTACACACTAAAGGAATTATTGAGTTGGATGGCTAAAACAGTACCAAGTTACTATTGATAAAAATCGATTTCAACATTTTAATTGTTAAATTTAATACATTCCAATCTGTTTTCATTGTCAGTTTGTTATTAAAAAATCATTTAATAAAAGTTCATGTAACTTTAAACTTTAAAATAAAATAAACCTAATTCTTTGCTCAAATAGAAGAGCGTCACTAATTGTTGAAAATGAGTATTCAACTAAAATTTCCACTTTTACAATCACCAAGTACGTGTCTCTCTCTTTTCTCATTCAGAACCCGTAAAAAAATTTCAGCTAAATGAAAAATATGCCAATTTTCGTCCAAATCTATTTCGTTATAAAAAGAATGTCCTATTTACTCTAGTTCAGTCACGTACCTCCTTAGGTTTTTTTCCTCTCTCTTCGAATACTTCATACAGTGTAATATTATGCGCAGGAAAAGTACGCGGAATGCATTTATAAGATTTTCCAACGTTTTTTTTTTCCAAGATGACAAGTTTTGAATTCTAATTAGAGGAATATTTTTTTGCTCTCCTCATTAGGTACACAAGAATTATAATCATAAAAAGAAACTCTATACCTCAATATCTGAATATGTGATCACCGTTTTTTTTATCACGTACCATTTTAAAATACTGCCTTAATCCAATAACTATTGTTGTATGAAAAGTTATAGGATAAAAGTTTTCATCATCATTTGTCAAATAAAATATTGAACTGTGATTCTTTGATGGTACTTGTTGAAATTGGAGCTACTGAAAAATTACCTTCGAGCAACAAGATGATAGTCTTAGTACATGTTGTCAGATATGACCTAATCTTATCGTCAAGTGTTACATAATAACAGTTATAATCAACAATCATTAACACGGTGAAACTAAATCACGTTTCAGTAGCGGATCGTAAGATAAATATTTGTTATGAAGGCCGTAAACAATTGATATTACCAAACGAAGAATGGATAAATAAAAAAAATAAAGATCAAATTACAATTGAATGGCCACGTCGATATTTTTTAAGTAGACAATACGAATACTCACCTCAAACTTTCATAAAAATTAAAAACTAACTTTTTATCAAATATGTATAATGATACGGACTTTTCATTTTAAAATTTATCTTATAGTTTTTATGTTATACGAATCACTTGCACATCCCTTGAAAAGTAGGGTAAGTATGCTCCGAGATATGATCATTACTTGTGTGCATATCTCTGTCTCTTCCTCTGAATATTCCTACTAGTTTTTTAAAATTGAAACCCTTGATACGTTTTTTTTTACAAATTAGTATTATCAGTTGAAAAATCCAGTTGCTTTTGTGAAAATGATTATACAAAAACTCAACCCTCTTTTAGACTTTTTCGCCATATAACAATTTAGGTGTCAGGGAACACGTGAGGTTCATAACAAGTGATTATTTGTACAGATAATCTTGAAATTTCAATTTGTCAAGTAGAAGTATGTAAATGTTGTAGCTATATCTTGAAGATTTTCTACTTTTCGACGTGACACTGCCACGAGATTTTATGATGTAAAAATTTTCATCGAACGTAGAGTACACTTACGGGCACCACTTTGAGTATCGCCTGATCCATTGCGGGCCCTCCTCAAGCGCCGTCTCCATCGTCATCGGAAAAGTCATGGATGGTGTTTTTTTTCTCCTGCACAGTTCGTACTCTGACTTGATCAGGATGCGTATGCAGTAGGTGCAGATTAGACCGACGATAAGCGTGCCCACAGTACCGAGCAGGTAACCCGCGTTGTTGAAGGCTTTCGGCATCGCCAGGATGCCCGTTCCCAAGCTACCCTTCATGAAGTGAAACAGCGTTTCCAGAAACCTGTGCACACAAAATTAATGATTGGCTCGAACTTCACTTCTCTGAAGGTCAGTTCGGGTATGACTAGAGTTTTCTACCTTACCGATCAACGCACAAGTTACCCGATTTACAATAATATATTAGTCTTACACGGAAACATTTGCCCACAAAATAAATTTCGACGCTTGTCAACATTTCAAAGATTCGGTTCTGCACTACGTAGATGTACTTTTTCCCACAAAACATACCTATATATTATGTAAGAACTGAAAAAACCAGGTTATGTTAGATTCTGCTTTATGTAGGTAGATTACGTGGGAAAAAGTATATACATATATAGTGCAGAACCAGGATCATACTTAAGGGGGAAATAGTGTTAAAATTTCCACGGAATTGCCCTTACACCTTCCATAGGAGCAACGAAAAAAAAAAAAAATGTGTCTCTATTTGCGTGAAATACAGGAATCTGCGCTCTCTCCACTCAAAGTAAGGTGAAGTAAGTAAGTATACACACACAAGGTGAATAAGCTTATATAAGCAAGCACGAACGTGTACGCGGAAACAGCAAGCTCTTGCTCATAAAATCTCTGGACTTTTAGCTACTTACTGCTCCTGTAATTACGCTTGGACGTTTTACTTGTGTGTACATAAAGAATGCCCGTGAACTCAAGATTGCGCCTTAAAAGATCAGCTGAATCAGCCTTCAGCTGTCAATGCTCTGTCGCTACGCAATTTTTCACAAACGTTGCTGCGGGGTTACACGTGCCATGATTTCATTTTTTTCCAAAGACAAGATTACGAGAGGTGGCATTTTTTTTAAGCAGCGAACTTTGCACGTGACTATTAATATTCATCCGTCGTGGTATGGAAGTAGTAATTCTCCCTCATCAGAAATGCACAAAACCAGAATTAAAAGATGAAAAAAAAAAAAAAAAAAATAGATTCGTAGTTTGTGACCATGCATTAGTAAAAAAATCCTTGTAAAGCAATTAATTCAACAATAACGCTTTCGCTCAACCTAGTTCTGGTTTTGAAACACACGCGTTCCATAATTGTAGTGCTGATGCAATCGGTACCATTAGCCGTGCGCGCATTTTTATGAAATATTCATTTAGCCGCTGAAATGATCGAGTCATTCTGGTGGGATAAAACTTACAATGACGAGAGTGCGTTGGCACAACCTGATTTCACGACAAAACCATTTTCACCTAGTGCTTTTTTTTTAACTGTCCGCATACAAAGGTTAGCCACGTTCGACAATTTAAAAATAGTTTTAAGTACTCTTTTTAGGTATGAATGTTATTTGTTTTTTTTTTTTTTTTTATTGTACTCCAAATTTAAAGGGGATTAATTTATTCATTAAAACGTTTTAGATCACCTCAACTGATGAATTATAGTAATTTTAAAATAATAGACGTGTTTACACTGATAACATTTTTGTATAGCAACATTTTTGAAATAAAAATTGAAATGAAAAATTCTATTTTATGTTGGTATTTAAATAAAAAGAACTGCAAACTTTAGTTTGTTAACTATTGCAGGAAAAGTCGAGAAACAACGTATGTCCATGGTATAGGATGAATGTATTTCTTAGTTTTCCGTTAACATCAGAAACAAGTAATAGGATTTTTCTGGTGGACTGTGAAGAACATGATTTTTATACACAAAAAACTACAAATCAACAAATCAAGAATAATTTGCCAGGACTTTGTTAGCTACGATACCTAAGACAAACAAAAAAAAATTATTTTTATAATTGTAAGACCTTCCGTTAATTACATCATTATCACTGTAAGTGCTCTTAAGACCTTCTATTTATTACTTTCCAGTTTAATATAAATAATTCAAAAAATATATAAAAAATTTAATTACAAAGTAGAAGACACTTTTTTTATTGTACGCGTAATTAATAAAAGTAATAGCAATGAAACTGCTTGTACTTAAGAAAACCGTTCTTGTCTGATTTTCGCAATAATAGTAGCGTGTTTTCACCATTTTTTAATACACTTTTCATACGAATCTTAATTTTTCACTTTATTGGACAAATCAGTCCATTGCACATATTTGACTTCGTTTTATCGTTTGTGCGGTCAAATAAAAAAAAAAAACAAAAAAAAAAAACGAGTGAAATAATGACGGGCAGAGAAATGAACTTGGAAATGAAGGGGACCTATAGTATTATCCGTATTTAAAGTCTGTAATCCTCAGTTATCGGTCACTAATAAAAATAATATTCAATCCCATCCGTTTACACCTCGGTTTACACTAACTTTCATTGTCACCGATAATAAACATTTCCATGTACGAAAAAAAAATTTCAAGCTGATCTACAAGTATGGGATCGAAATCAATTGCCGATCTGTGTACATTCCACACACAAAAGTTAGTTGAATGAAAGCGTATTAAAACCATACGACTGTAAACAGGAATGCATTCGGCAAAGGGTATATCGCTACAATGTACTTTCGCATTTTTATCGCTCAGCCCTGATGATGACTGTACAAGGACGTCGAAGTATTGACTTGGATAAGTGTAATCAAAAAAGCATGTGCAATACTCTGTTTCACTCCAAGGTCATCCCTCGACCTTTCCTCGAATATTCAACCGATTTTTCAAAGCTGCATCAATCAATATTGTGCTCAGGCCGATGGTTATTCAAAAATACATTTTTAATCGACCGACCATCCAACATTGACGAACTAAAACTCACCGATCGACAAGTACTGCATAAAACCTACCGTTCACCGACAGCTAGCGATAATCTCGCTAAGAATGACAATCCAACGCGAACAAACTTAGCTGTGGAGTCGTAAAAAATAGTTTTTTTTTTTTTTTTTTTTTTTTACGAGCACTCGACGAGCGCCGTATGCACGAAGCGATTAATAGGCACCTCCGCTTTACGACAATCGTGAGCGAGTTATCCGCTTTGATCTGCCAACGGGCGCTAAACGTTATTATTCTCGTAAGTGTACGCACGTCTTTCTGTACCCTATAAATATTTCATGACGCACCTCGTGCACTTGTTTCATTGTCACGGTATTACGCGCGAGTTCACGTACGTGATCCAAAAATTTGCCCAAGCTCTTGCACGTGACACGTGTAGGTACACCTAAAAAAACCATCATGAAGAAGCGCAATCGTGTCCAAGGCTCATTATAATCGTTCGTTACGGCGGTGATAGATTTTTCGTGTAAAACAAAAGTTTGATAATGCACTCACGTGGTCGGGTGTTGAACCTGTCGGTGCAGGTATGGGTCGTAGTCCCCTTCCATCTCCTTGGCGATTTTTCTCTTGTCCTCGAGCTCAACGGCGTGGAAGCCGTTCGTAAGGTCCTTCGTTCCGTACCTACAAGGACATGCACGTAAATGATTGTTTTTTTTTTTTTTATTCATTATTTTTATCCCGATTTCCGGCTTTCAGTACCGATTCGTATTCTTTGCACACGCGTAGACAACGTTTGTCCCTTGTTTATACTATGTTTGTTAGATCAAGGTGCCGTTTTTGTTTATTACTTCGCGATTAATTTACGTAACCTATCCAAATATATAGTAACGTTTTGAAAAAACTTACCGGCTGACATTGCTGAGCTGTGACTTTTTGCTCGGGTCAACGAAGTCCTGAAACAAAAACAAAAAAAACGTGATTTTTATAATCTCTCCAAAACGGTCGAAAATTCTGGAAAATGTCAATGCGGGTCTTTAAAGTAATTTAGAAACAAAAAAAAACAAAAAAAAAAAAAACGATCCCGGTATTTCCTGCTCAAAGGCTGACTGCGGAAACAAATCCGCTTCCATTGTCGTACGAAGCTCCCACGCGTATCACGCGCGCCTCGTGCGAAGGCAAAAAATGGCCCACTCGGTAGCAACGATCGCCCGGAAACAGCCTTTACCCGTGGCCCCGACACCAAGCGCCAAGGACGCCAAAGCAAACTCGCCATGCGGCAATTTTGCGCTAGTCATTATCTCTCGTTTGACACCTCGATCCAACTAATGTGTTTTGGCGCCAGGATCGAGCGGAAAAATCCCCAGCACCTTCAATTAGTCTGTACGCTCGCCTGACTGTGCGTCTCGCCGTATTCATTCCAAGTGCACTGATTAGGCACTCTACGTACACGCGAGACCGGTTTCGGTGGGTCCGAATCGGTTGACCGCGAGTCCAGATGCTCCAAGGATCGGTTACCTTTAGTTAAGGGAGTATCCCCTTTATCGACTAGATTCGCTGTAGAAAGCTATGTTACCGGGTGGCATAGTTTTCAATGCGTTGTACACATGCATACACGAGTTTTAACATAGTTTTTTGCTTGTTTTTTCATTTATTAGTAATTTTACATCCACTGAATGGTTATTTAAAGAACATTACTGTGATCCTCATACATATTCTTCTCCTCATAAAACAAACATACACCCATTAGATGGCATGTTAAATTGAAAGATACATTTTCACTAGCAACTCACTTCCAAAGCTGTGAACAGTCTTTAAATTTTATTTGGAGCTTTATGCCGTTATTTACCTATACATTTAAAATATCATCAAAATCTTGACGTTATTACGCATAAGGGGGATACTCTTTTAACCAAATGAGATCGGCGCAGTTGTACAAAGTCCTCCATGGTTTGTTCAATAGCCGGATAAATTAATCATTCGACGACTGATGGTTTTTAGAACCCCGTGATCTAACCGCTACATATTGTCACGTTCACTTCCGAATATTTCAATCAGCTGGAAATTTGTCCAACACGAGCGCAAGAAACCAGCAGCTTTCCTTGTTTGGTTGTTGTCGACAGCAGATGAGGAAAAACACGACGCGTAACGAAGAGAATAATCCAAATTGCGATTTTTCAAGGTATACATCGGTGTATGAGCGCGTTACGTGAACATTCCTTGCGAGTGACGTGTACCAAGCCGTGCGGTGAGATTATCACCAGCGAATTAACTCCATTCTATAATGTATCTCGCATTCAGCGAGTGTGTAATAGTGTTACGGCTGGGTGTTTAAATACCAAGGAAAATACTTTGCTCGCCAGCCGTCACGGATTTATTGTTACTGATCTCGATCCATGTGGACTTGGTGTAGAAAAAAAATTATCGCCCATTTTTTTTACCGTCTATTATTCGTTATTGAAACAATTTTTGAAAAATGAACTCGATTTGATAATATACTTGTTTAGTTGCTCTACCATCATTACAACTCTTACAAATACAATAAGAGGACAAGGTTATAGGAACCTGATTATTTGGTTACATTATAGATGTTGGATTTTGTTAAAAAATATACGAGAAAATAGAATTGTCGGTCATTACTAAATGTTTTTAATATACCGAGTAGTGTATGGAAAATTTTAATAGTAATGTTTGCATTTTTTCTCAAGTCACTATTCAACTTTGACAATGGAAGAAAGATAAATTGATTTCTAGTCGTACTTTTGCTCTTTATACAGCTATCGCTTAAGTTTGTAAGACTATGTTAATGCTTGAAGCTTATAGATCTGTATAATACTTGTGGGTCCTTTTTCTTTCAAATAAAATTTTTTTTGGATTTGAGAGTAAATGTATTGGCCAATATTCCTCAAGATCATGCACGTTTTCATTTTAATATGTAGATACAATTTCGACTTTTTTGAAATAATCGGAGCAGTAGCCAGTTACAATTATTCTATTTTTCATAATATAAGCAACGAGTATACCTGAAAATTCGCTCAAGTTCTTCAGAAGGTTCCATTATTGTCTTAAAAATGTAGAGGCAGCAGGAAAGCTTTCAACAATAACTATTTGAATTGTCAGGAAATTGTGTGAATTTTTTTCAATATTTTTATCAATGATGAAGAACAAACTTAAATTCATTTGATGCTCTCCAGAGCTCGTATTAAAAGATAAAATTTTATCAGTAAAAAAACCTTGAGGAGAAAAATATTAAAAAAATTCACATAGTTTTCTGATACTGTAAGTAGTTATTATTAGAAAATTTTTTTGCTTTCTTCGAATTTTGAAATAATCACTGAACCTGTTTGTATAATAATAATCTTCTTCTATTAATAGGAGGTTCAAAAGTAGGTTTTATTATTGTATCAACAGTCTTTGCTGCAATGGTGAAATAATATTCAAAAAAATTGTTCCTAATTCCGTCGATTCCATGATTATTTTGAGTTCCTTTACTATTGTATTTATTTATTTTTTTGCTTGTTTTTTTCACAAATACGTAATCAATGCAAAAACCAGCATACAGTTGTAAATATCATTTTATCATGGATACTTTTGGCAAACATCCGTCTTCCATTAAGATAATTAATTATCTGCACATAGTTGATCAATACTTGCATTTTTTACGGATGAGGTATAGAAAGTAGCATTGGTGATTTCTTCCAACAGAGTTCTGTTACGTAAAACGATAGAAGATCTGCAAAAATATATTTGAAATCCATTCGTAGGTAGGATTAATCATTCGGTTGTTGGCAACTTTATAATTTAGTGTCTATTTAGAGAGCCGAGCAGTGCTGATCAAATGTAAAAAAAATCAGAATTGTAAAAGTTACGGGTGGAAGGTGATTGGAAGGAACATGATTAGTTGGAGAGTCCGAGAGTGGATCGAAATCTGCAAGGTGTTCTCAGGACTTAATCAGCCACCGGAAACACGCGTGCCCCTGACGACTGGCTTCATTGAAGATGATACGTACGTCATGCGCTGATTCTAGTACGTGACGACATTCACGTGGATGATCTGCTTTTGAATTTTGTCTCTTTGCTTCCATTCTTTGCTCCTCTTTGTTTCGAGTGATATATGTTGTATGAAATTTTTCATATCGTACCTTTTTAATTGTTGTAAGCAATAAAAAAGGTTGTACACTCTTTTTCCTGACTATTATTTACATAAAGTTTCTTGATCCGCACTGGAATTTAATAACGATTTTTATGTGTTTTAGATTCTAAACCTCTACTTTGAATGAGATTTAATAGTAAGTGACTTTGAAAAAATTAACTGAATGCTTTTTGACAATGCAGTATTAACTTTATATGTAACATCTTATGGAATTAAAACAAAAACAGCACTAATTTTATATTAGAGAAATAAAATTCATATCCAGACTATTTGGATTTGGTTCTATTACTTGTAACTCGTCACAGTAAAAACTTATTCAACATTAATTTATGTAATATTGGTGATTAATTTTCAATTTTCATGAGAAATCCAAAGCAATAAGGCATTTAAACTTCCCTTTGAACCAAGTGAACCAAAGGTTGACGATTCGGAGAAAGGTTTGATGGTAATCTTTAGAATACTGAAAAATTTTTTTTAAGACGTTTTGCAAGGAAATAGGCCGATTTGTTGGATAATTTTTTTGGTTGGTATGACAGACGGGGGTAGAATCTACCGAAAGAACACAATACAACTCAATTTTTCAGTATATTTTGGCCAGTAGTGTCCAAAAGAGTTTATCAGAGAATAACGTTTATCAAACATGTTAGTAATCTTTACAAAAGCTGATAAATTAGGCTGATAACGCGAATATCAAAATTATAAGGCAAACAAATCTGGAATTACATTGATGATTTAATCGATCAAATTGTCTGGGCACGCAGTTTACTCGTGAAATTGTTTTCATACATTTCAATGCATGTGTATGTATGATATGTAAGATACAAAATCTAAGGGATAATACATATCAACTGATAACAATGATGTAAAACATTTCGGACACATCAAATATGTAATTTTCACAGATAATGGTTGTGCGTAAATTTATACTATATACTTGATTACATTTACGTTACCATGTGTATCTATTCTACACTTTCAAATCTAAAAATCATAAAAATCATCTTCAAATTAATTTTTTACGCCTAGGCACATGTGTAACTTTGATACTTTGCTACTTTGTCACTTTGATAAATCCTATAATCCCGTTTCCAATATAGTAGACAAGATGAATCATGATATGAATAGCTGAGTTATCAGATGATTTTATTTTTCAACGCATCTCAATTGTTTGTGTTAGGGTCATATTTTATGACTTGTACGAATATACATCCTACGATTATTTTTGTAAGCGTGCACACAGAGAGAATTAAATTAGTCAATTTAAAAATGTTTTTCTAAAAACGTTGTATCTAATGATTTTTTTAGAAATTGTAAAGAGCATTGTTGTTCTTTGATATTTATTGTATGGCACTTTAACAATAAACAAGTAAGGATTAACCAAAAATGCGAGTGAGTATCATCGTTTTCCTTTGTTTGAGAAAAAGCATTCGCACATTGGCGCATAAATGTAAGCACGAGCGTAACACCCAAGCGATAACATTTGTGCCAGATGAGAGGGGCAATATATCCCTGAATTACTCGACTTAATTTCCGGGTTGAATATCCCTTTATCAATGCACGCGGTAAAAAGCCGGCACGTTGGCTAAAACGATCGATTCCTTATCCACGCTTAGGATCTCTTGCACTTTATGACCGACGTGGCAATGAGTTTACAGCTCCGCATCCATCCATGAAATCATTTGGACGTGGAATGTGGAACAACAGAGCGATTATCTCTAAATACGGATTAGTTTTAAGCCGTACGTGGTATTTTTGTGGTTTTCCCAACAATTATTTCATGATACTCGTCGTTTGTGATTTTTA